TTCAGACTTGGTAGGATTGACAGATTCACACTTATTATCTGCACAAGTTATTTTCAACTGGTCTGCATGTCTACGGACAATAAGTCCATCATTTGTTTTTACTTTATAAGACACAGGTCCTGTACATTGAACAATTTGACCTGGTATCCATTTTTCCTTTCTCCCATAATTTCTCAGATACACATTATCATTAACTGCAAATTCTCTTTCAATGGATGATTTGTCATGATTTACTTTTTGTGTATGTTGATGTTGGGAAACAGACCTTTGAACAGTTGGATGTAGTAGGTCAAGATGAGTTTTAATTTTCCTACCACATAGCAATTCACATGGTGCAACACCTGTTGTTATATGAGGAGTTGTGCGGTATTTGGTTAAGAACCTGTTTACTCTTTCTCTAAGAGAAAACTTGTTACCGGTATTCATTTTTACCATAGCGGTTTTGAATATGCCTACCGCTCTTTCAGCTAAACCATTCCCAGCAGGATGATAGGGGGATGTGGTTATATGCTCAATACCATTTGCCACACAAAACAGTTTAAACTCATGAGCTGTGAAACTAGGCCCATTATCTGAAACAATTTGATCTGGTAATCCATGAGTTGAAAATATTTCCTTAAGTTCTATAATGGTATCATTTGCAGTGATTGTGTTCATGATTTTAACTTCTAACCATTTAGAATGTGAATCAATAACAATTAAGAACATTTTGTTCATGAAAGGTCCTGCGAAATCTATATGTATACGTTTCCATGGTTCGATTGGCCAGTCCCAGTTTTGCAAAGGTGCTGTAGCTGGTTGATTTGAATGTTGTGCACAGCTTGAACAAAGTTTTACATATTTTTCAATATCAGCATCCATATGTGGCCACCAGAACCATGATCTTGCTAGACTCTTCATTTTGGAAGAACCAAGATGAGTATCATGTAAAGTTCTTAAAACTTCTTTTTGTAACATTTTGGGGATAATTACTCTTGACCCCCATAGTATACATCCATCTTCTAGACTTAACTCTGTTTTTCTTATTTTATATGGCTTTAAGTCCTCATTCACTGACTCTTCAGGCCAACCATTCTTACAGTACTCATATACTTTTATTAAGCACTCATCTTTTTGTGTTTCTCTTTTAATATCATTCACATTTATATTGGAGTTATCCATGATAGTGAAGAGAACAAATACATCTTCTGGTACATAGCTCAGGCTTTGGTTTTTTAAAGGTAATCTACTAAGACTATCTGCACTATTCTCAGATCCAGGTTTGTATTTCAATTCATAATTGTATGCAGTTAGTGTGATAGCCCATCTTTGAATTCTTGGTGAGGCATGCTCAGGTAGGGTTTTGTTTTCTCCAAATAAACCTAGCAATGGTTTATGATCTGTAAAGATGGTGAACTTCCTACCAAACAGAAACTTATGAAATTTCTTAACACCAAAAATGATGCCTAAGCCTTCCCTATCTAACTGAGAATAATTTTTCTCAGCCTGGTTCAAAGATCTACTGGCAAAAGCAATGGGTCTGTCACCCTTCTCATCCATGTGGGACAAGACTGCTCCTACACCATCTGGTGAAGCATCACATGTTAATATAAGTCTTTTCCCTGGGTCATAGTGAGTTAGTAAGGTGTCAGCAGACAAAGCCTCTTTTGCTGTATTAAAAGCAGCTTCTTGTTGTTTACCCCAGTGCCAAGTTGCATTTTTCTGTAGCAGCTTGTACAGTGGTGATAGTTTACCAGACAGATTTCCTATGAACTTTGCATAGTAATTTATTAAGCCCAAAAAAGCTCTTAGTTGTTGGGTATTTTCAGGTTTGGGTGCTTCTTTAATGGCTTTTGTTTTCTCAGGTTGAGGTCTGATACCTTGTTTGCTTAATATATAACCAAGAAAACTAATTTCTGTCAACATGAATTGACATTTATCTTTGTTTATCTTTAAACCTTTTTCACCAACAATTTTCAAGACTTTATCAAGTGTTTTAAGATGTTCAGTGTCATTCTTACCAGTTATGTACACATTGTCAAAGTACACACAAACATTTGGAATATCCTTAAAAATACTGTCCATGACAGCTTGGAAAATTCCAGGGCTAGATGATATGCCAAAACATAGTCTTTCATATTGGTAGAGTCCTTTATGTGTGTTTATTGTCGTATAGACTTTTGAATCTGGATGCAGTTCTAGTTGAGTGTAAGCATGACTAAAGTCTAATTCAGTGAATTTGTCTCCTCCTGCCAAATTCAAAGAAATTTCCTCAATGTTAGGAATAGGGTACCTATTTAGCTCTATTTGCTTATTCAGTGTAGTTTTATAATCTCCACAAATTCTTATAGAACCATCCTTCTTTAACACTGGCACAATGGGTGTCGCCCAATCGGAATAGTCTACCTTCTTTATAATGCCATTAGATTCCAATCTACTTAGCTCATTTTCAATTTTATTCCTCATTGCATAAGGTGGAACTCTAGCTTTGCAGTATCTTGGATTTGTATCTTTAATGCTTAACTTCACTGTTCTATCATTTAGTAAACCTGAATTACCAAAAACACATTTATTTTCAGATATAACTTTATCTAGTGAAGTAAGACTAGATTCTTTTACATTCTTCAATGAACAAATACTCTCCCAATTTAACTTAAGATCACTTAACCAGTTCCTACCTAGTAATGGCGGTCCATTTCCTTCAACCACAAGAAGAGGAAGTTTAACACTTTGACCATTATAACTTACATGAACCATACACTCTCCTATTACCGGAACATTGTCACCAGTGTATGTTGTTAGGCACTTGTGACATGGCTGTAGAGGCACTGATCCTCCAGTGACAGCGTCAAAATCTTTCTTTGTTATGAGTGTTAGAGATGCTCCAGTGTCAAGTTGGAAGCTGATGCTCTTACCGTTGATATAAACTGGTACATTGATGGGAGCATGACTTTTTGATTTCACAGAGAATAGGTTGAAATCCGGCTGCGAATCAGTTTGAGCATTTTCACAGGTAGAGTGGTTCATTGGTTGGGTTAGGTAGTCTTGGTGAGAGTTAACATAGTGCTGCCTTTGGTTGCGGTACTGTCTTGACTGGCTAGATTTAGCAACAGACGAAGACTTTGCAAAGCAGGCCTTGGCAATGTGACCTTGCTTACCGCACTTATAACAAGTTGCAGACTTGAACTTGCACCGATGAGATGCATGGGGACCTTTGCATCGATGACATTTTTGATAATTATTACTAGATTTAGATCTAGGATTTGAACGAGCAGGGTGTTTAGCATAAGTTGAAATGCTCTGTTGGGGTTGATGTTTATTGACTAACCTGCTGTTTACTGCATGGATCTCTGAAGGTGCTAAAGATCTCGCCGCATCTGATGACTGCTGGAATGAAGTTGCAAGTTGTATTGCTTTTTCCAATTTTAGATCTGACTCGAGCAGCAACTTTCTTTGAATATCAGGGCTGTTTACACCTGTCACAAACTTTTCACATAATCTGTCAGACAGCGTGTCTCCAAATTCACAAAATCTACTTAAATGACGTAAAGCAGCAACATATTCTGATATTGACTCGTTTGGTTGACGAGTCCTACCGTCAAATCTAGCTCTACATAAAAACTTTGATGGGGTAGGCGCATGGTGGTCTGTTAGCAATTTGCTCAGCTCGTTAAAGCTCTTGGTATCTGGACTAGCTGGTGCGCATAAGTCCTTTAGTAGCCTGAATTGTTGAGGCCCTATGACTGTTAACAAAACAGCTCTCTTTTTGGCTTCTATCGTCACATTGTTAGCTTCTAGGTAAAAGCTTAACCTCTCTAGGTAATCTTGAATGATTTCATCATTCGCATCAAATTCTTTTATTTGGCCATACAGCGCCATAATTCTAGAAATAATTAGCTAATAAGCTCTAGCAAACCTCTTTTTTGCGTAAGTAGGTGCTCTTTCTAGTAGATGTTTATCCTTCGTCGCCAGTTATAATAGATTGACGACAGAAGCCTGTGGTTGTATATAACACATTTATTGGGTCTAACTACCTCACGATGGTAACACACAGAGAGGGCGGGCGGAAGTACACAAGGGACATCACTCAAGATAACAATATTATAAATATAACTAATACAGAAGAGTGAGTTCCCTTGACCTCACAATTATTTCAATCTATTACAGAATTTTATTTTTGGAGTTCACAGAAAACAACACGAAACACAATACAGCCGTTTTTGTAAAGCTTGTAAAAATATTTGTAATTTTACGTAGAATGAAAGGGCGCGAATAACATCAGGGGTAATAGAACACCGCACCACCATTCATGCAAGAATAAAATACAAATAAATTAAAATAAAGTTAACCCCCCCCCCCCCCCAAAAAAAAACAAAAAACAAAAAGCTCGCGTTTTCTTTTTTTGGCAACCTAATTCATGAACAGTTGCCGCAGGAACAGGTTCTAACAGCACAAGTTCCTGTTGATGGAATTTCGCGCCCTGCAACTGGACACTCCACACATCCCGCACTTTTACACACTGGTCCTTCCACACCTCCGCAAACTTCTCCACACCTCCCCACACCTCCCCCGCACATCCCCCGCACATCCCCCGCACCTCCCCCCACATCTCCACACATCCCCATAACTTCCCACACTTTCATATAAATTCAGACCAGAAACAGACGAGACACTAATAATAAACAAACAGGAATCATGTTGACATGGCACGTCGTATTAGTAACCCGCAATTCAGAAACGTTTTAAAATATGGCTGAAGCTTTAAAATTTTAGGGTATATAATTTCGGCGGATGAGTTAACAACTGTAATTTACGTTAGAAGCCCGCTACTGTAGCCCACATTGAAGGCCCGCTACTGTAGCCCACACTGAAGGCCCGCCGCTGTAGCCCACATTGAAGGCCCGCCGCTGTAGCCCACATTGAAGGCCCGCCACTGTAGCCCACACTGAAGGCCCGCTGCTGTAGCCCACATTGAAGGCCCGCCGCTGTAGCCCACATTGAAGGCCCGTCACTGTAACAACATGCGACAGTGTTACCTCAACCAACAACCTGACGGCATCCACCAAAAGTAAGTTGAGGTTTTAACATATATGTGTGTGTGCGTGTGTGTATGTGTGCATGTGTGTGTATGTGTATGGGTGTGTGCGTGTGCATGTGTGTGAATGTGTTCATGTGTATGTTTATGTGTGTGTGTGTCAATACCGTGTCATGTCGCTCGTATATTCATATGTATCTTCGCTCGTATATATATATATATATGTATCTTACAACATCATCTATATAATCTATAGCATCTACAATCAGCAGATTGTACCCAGACTACCCAGACAGACTGCCCAGACTACCCAGACAGACTACCCAGACAGACTACTCAGACAGACTACACAGAAAGACTACCCAGACAGACTACTCAGACAGACTACACAGAAAGACTACCCAGACTACACATACAGACTACACAGAAAGACTACCCAGACAGACTACCCGGGAGACTACCCTGACTACTCAGACAGACTACCCACACAGACTACCCACACAGACTACCCAGACTACCCAGAAAGACAACCCAGACAGACTACCCAGACAGACTACCCAGACAGACTACCCAGACAGACTACCCAGACAGACTACCCAGACAGACTACCCAGACAGACTACCCAGAGAGACTACCCAGACAGACTACCCAGACAGACTACCCAGACAGACTACCCAGACAGACTACCCAGAGAGACTACCCAGACAGACTACCCAGACAGACTACCCAGACAGACTACCCAGACAGACTACCCAGACAGACTACCCAGACAGACTACCCAGACAGACTAACCAGGCAGACTATCCAGACAGACTACCCAGAGAGACTACCCAGACAGACTACCCAGACAGACTACCCAGAGAGACTATCCAGACAGACTACACAGACAGACTACCCAGACAGACTACCCAGACAGACTACCCACACAGACTACCCAGACAGACTACCCAGACAGACTACCCAGAGAGACTATCCAGAAAGACTACCCAGACAGACTACCCAGAGAGACTACCCAGACAGACTACCCAGACAGACTACCCAGACAGACTACCCAGAGAGACTATCCAGACAGACTACACAGACAGACTACCCAGACAGACTACACAGAAAGACTACCCACACAGACTACCCACACAGACTACCCACACAGACTACCCAGACAGACTACCCAGACAGACTACCCAGACAGACTACCCGGGAGACTACCCAGACTACTCAGACAGACTACCCAGACAGACTACCCGGGAGACTACCCAGACTACTCAGACAGACTACCCACACAGACTACCCACACAGACTACCCAGACTACTCAGACAGACTACACAGAAAGACTACCCAGACAGACTACCCAGACAGACTACCCAGACAGTCTCTCCTGGTCCTTCAACATGTCAGCAGCAGCCGTCGCCATCGCCTTCATCGGCATCATCCTCGTCATCGTCTCCAGGAACAAAGCCCTGAAGAACTTCGGCTTCTTCCCCAAGGACGTCGCCCAGCGGAGGGTAGGGTCCCAGCAGACCAGCGGCACCGGCACGCCCGTGTCTACCAGCAGCCGGGCCCGGGGGGACACGCCCGCCACACTCAACAGAAGCCAGAACATTTTCGGCCCGGCGGAGCGACGCCCGCCACCGCCCGCACCGTTTACAACAGCAGCATCAGCCGCTCCCCCCGGGGCGTACGGTCAAGGTCATAACCCACCGATCTTTGTCCAAAGTCGTGGGAGTCTTCCGCTCTCTGACCCGGTGTACCCACCCCCCGTGGCGTACCCACCCCCCGTGGCGTACCCACCTCCCGTGGCGTACCCACCCTCCACGTCTCACTCACCTGGGGATCTGCGCCCCCTTAGGGGAGCCATCAGGCCCACAGCGCCGCCCATGGACAGGTCCGAACCCCCTTATGTTGAAAGCCCTCCCCCCTCATACTCTGAGGCGGCCAGATTTTCAACTCTTCAAAACCAGGGGCCCTAAAGTGTGACAGAGAACTGACGTGCAGGGGGAGTAGAGTCCAGAGGCGTAGCGACCCCTCCCGGCGCCCGGGGACAAACTTTCGATTTGCACCCCCCCCCCCCTCAAACTTTCAATTTGGCGCCCCCTCAAAGGTCGGCGCCCGGTGACATATGTCTCCCGGCCCCCCTCGCTACACCATTGGAGTAGAGTGTCTCAGTGAACAGACCTGATATTCAAAGGAACTTTATGCAATGTGACAGCTAGAGCTCTTGTAGATAACGCTATCAGAACCTTTCTGCCGATTAGTGCAAAGGTCGTTTGTGTGCCTTTGGTGTGTGTTTGTATTTGGTGTTTGTATGTGAATTAGTCGAGCATTATGGGAATCTTTGAGATTGTAAAATCACCTTTACGAGACTTTTCTTACTCATTCCGCTTAGATGCACTCTCTCGTGATCTCTCTCTCACACTCTCCCGTGATCTCTCTCTCACACACTCTCTCGTGATCTCTCTCTCTCACACTCTCCCGTGATCTCTCTCTCACACACTCTCTCGTGATCTATCTTTCACACTCTCCCGTGATCTCTCTCTCACACACTCTCCCGTGATCTCTCTCACACACTCTCTCGTAATCACACTCTCACACACTCTCTAGTGATTTCTCTCATACACACATTTATCACCCAACTGCTCATTGGTAAAAAAAAAGTTTTTCACAGTGTTTGATCTCAGAAACGTTGTAATAAGATGTCTTGGTGATTTGATAAACGTCTGACATATTGATGTATACCGGTGACATTGTGTGACAGATTAATACGATTGTGTGACACTAATTGTATTGTTAGGAAAATGAAGTCCGGAATCTAGCTAAAATCGATTTTTTTTTCTGTCCTGATAATAAAAAAATCCCAACTTTAATGCTAATCTTGGCTTTTCCCTTCTGTAGACTTAAAGTGCTGCACAAAGTGGAATCAAAGAGTTCAACTTTTTGTTTCGTTTTATCAAATGAAGAATTTTTTTTTTCAAAGCGTTAAAGTTTATTTTGACGATGAATTAAAATCTATGATTTTGTGATCAATTAGCGATCACAAGCTGTTCCATTAGTATGAGTTGTGTGCGTGTGTGTATGTGGGGGTGGGGAGGGGGCGCTGTTGTGCTTGGTGGATCAGTTGATGCTGATTGTTCTTGTAAGTTGTATGCGATTGTACTGGGACCAAGTGTGTTGTTGAGTGCAGGTTTGTTTCTTCTGCAGCATCTGTGATACCTATCCAAACCAATGTGATAGATCTGTGATACATTTGTGATTGTTTTCAATGTGTTTGTGTGTGTGTTTTGTCAAATGAATGTATTCCTTTGTAGTTTTTATATATATATATATATATATATATATATATATATATATATATATATATATATATATATATATATATATATATATATATATATATATATATATATAATCTATTTTATACATTGCAAGCTGCAAGAACAATGCAATTTTAAAGATTCTACACTTTTATCATTGTACATTAACGTTATATTTAGTATGCATTTAATTATTGTAATTCGATATTGCTATTGATGGAAACCAGTGAAAAATTGTATCAATTGTATGTTCCAATTTTCTTTTGTTAAGGCATCCTTTTGATGTCTTGGTGCGTGTGAACGAAGGGTTCCTTGATTTAATAAAGAGATTTGAGTGGGAAGGGGGAAATCAATCTGACGCCACTATCTCCAGCTTTTCAATGCGTTTAGGTTTATATATCTGCTCAAATGTGAGCGGGTGAATGGATTTTTTGTATTATTTTATTTGTTGCGAATCTGGGAGTGCATGGTGGTCCAATGGGGAACAGCACGGGGTCCCCCTTCCGCTCGAAGCGGTCAGTATAAATTGACCGCTCGGAGTGATTTTCTTCCTTTTTTTGACCCGCGGCGAGATGTAGGTCGGGTCAGGTTTCTGCGTGGCGCACCGCACGCGTGGAGGTATTTGTTTTTTTATACTTTATCTTTATGTGATTTGTATGAATGCGACTGACGATGTTTCTCGTTTTCTTTCATTTTCGTCTAAAACGAGATAGTGAGCATCGGCATGTCTGGTATGCACGTGGTGTGTTATTTTGTTATTTTGAATTAAAATGTATTTTTGATGTTTTCTAAACCCTTGGCGTGTGTTTCGGACCACGTGGTTTAGGCCAGTGTGTATCCCCTGTGTTTCCTAAACTGGTGTGAATGCGTGTGTGCATTTACTTTTTTGTTTTATGATGTGTTGTTATTGACTAGGATTGGCTTAGTCAATAGTCAGTTGTTTTAGACAGTAATTAGATTAGTATATTTTAGTTGCCTCGAGTTTTAGGTGGTTTAAAATTAATGTGTGCTGTTTCGTGCAACGTCATGTTGAGTATCGCTTGCTTTGTGTCTGCCTTCATTGGGGCCCTAGCGGAGTGTGTTAACTTTAATGTTATCAATATGGATATTGTTTATGTAGACCAATGGCTTCGGGCTTCCTTGTGTAGGAAAGATTGGTTCTACGATGAATTTGTTTACACGTTATTTTTAAGTTATTAGTTCTTGGTTAGTTGTGTTTTTGAGAATTGCTTTTAGAATTGTATAGTAGGGATTAGTTTTACTCGAGGCTTTAGCTAGATAGAAGTAGTAGGTAGCATTTTGAACTTGTGTATATATTTATGTATATATCTGCCATTACCATGCATTTTTCTTATGTTTCCCTTTTCTTTTTCTCTTCCCCCCCCTTCCAGTGAGGTTGCTTGGGCAACTTGGCTGGGTGTTTTGTTATATATGAATTGTTTTGTTTGGTGTAAAACGTTTGTTGTGTACGTATTGTTTTCTACGTAATGTATTGTACGTAAGGTATTGTACGTAGTGGTTTTACGTAGTGTTTTGTTTGGTGTGGACTTTTGGATGTCGAGAATGGATGAAGGGAGGTTTCTGTGTGTCAGGGCCTGGACCATCCTAGACATCATAAGTCGGTGCAACACCAGCAAATGGTCGAACGTAATGTTTTGTTGTATATAAACTGTTTTGTTTGGTTTTGTTTTGTCTGTTTTGTGTATTCAGTAGTTTTTCCATTTTTTATATTTTCATTGGTTCCATGAAATAAATTTTATTAAATTGTAAAAGTTTTTCTGTTTTTTAAATTTAGACTAAGGTTAGGGTTTAACCACTGTGGGTTCTACCACGGTTGCACTGACCGGACATTAGTTAGATAAGCCTAGGGAAGGGTAGATAGATATTAGGTATCCCCCCTTAGCAGGGCTTACAAATTGGTAGCACGAGTGGGGTCAGTGCTTTAGTCTAGTTAAATTTTTGTTTTTTTGCTAGGGCTAGGTGTAGCTTAGTTAAATTTTTTTCTTGATAGGCCCTTTTTGGAACCATGTGTGTTTAGTTTATGTTTAGTGTAGGAATTGTTTGTTGTTTAAACACCCAGTCAGGTTGGCGGAGAGACGTGCCTCGACGAGCCTTCAGTGTGCGTGGCTGGACAAGGCACGGTGTGTGGCACTGGACCTGGCGTGTGATGAAGATGGCGGCCTCGTGTGGTCTAGACTGGACAACACACACGGGCGTGGCGCGGATCTGGTGTGTACGGCAGACCGGTGAACAACGAGAGGCCTATGACGTCAATACCTTGACCCACAAAGAGGGCTACTGGACACCCGCCCCACAGGTGTGTCGAAGCGGAGGCACGATCGTTGGGGGCGGGTAACAGTCGGAGAGCCAGTGGGGCAAGGCGGTTGCGTCACCACCTGGCCCAGCCAAGCGAACGCTCCCTACCAACGGAAGGCCTATGACGTAAATTCCTTGACCCACAAAGAGGGCTGCTGGACACCCGCCCAACAGGTGTGTCGAAGCGGAGGCACGATCGTTGGGGTTGGGTAACAGTCGGAGAGCCAGTGGTGAAAGGCGTTGGCGTCATATCTGAACCAACTAAGCGGACGTTTTACCGGTGGTCTGATGCTGAGGCCAGAACTAGAACACGGTGTGTTGTGTAGTGGACGAGATGGACAGGCAACGTGTGCCAATAGAGTCCTTTCATATGACGTCACGTCCGTTCGTGATACCTACGCCCGCCGCCACAGTGGTGTACATCAGACGTAAACACAATCAGCTGTTCGCCAGCGCTGGACGTGTTCACCAGCGCTGGACGTGTTCACCGTATGTAAAGAATCGCGCCCGCGGAAAAGGAAAAATACGTTAAAAAACTTGAACTCTTAGGAATTGAAGATCCTTATACTGTTATTGACAGTTTCGTATAAATAAATATGTGGACAAAATTTCTAAATAAAAATACTGTTAGTAATACTGTTTGCGTTTAGAGTTAAAGTAGCCGAATCTGATCAAATGCAGTTCTCGATACTTTGTTTCAGGTAAGGACAGTAAAATAATAAACTTCATTTTAATTATAAAAGATAACTATTAATAAAACAAATATGCTTGCCCTTCACAAATACTAATAGTAAAAGACAAAGTCAAAAGTAATAATAAGAATAATAAGATCTAATAGTAGGCCTAATACCTGGCTCCGCTGGGTAGACATAGAATCTAGAATCTACTTCTTTACTTAAATTTAATTACTTTAGATCTACATTCGATTCAAAATACACCCATAATAAATCAAAAGTAGTCATAATAGGCCTAATAAAGCATTTAATTGTCTCTAAGATCTAAAATCTCGCTCTATTATCTAATCATTTTTTTAGCAAACGAAATTTTCTGAAATTGAAATAGATGGTATGACTAGACTTAGATCTAGAATCTGCTACTTAAATTAAATTGTAAAAACTTTATACAAGTATGTAGTTGATATTATTGTAGTAGAAGGCTTTAATAAATTACTAAGGCCTACCTACTTTGTTGTCTTTTTACAGCAATATGTATCTGATACTGGACTGAGTTTAATTAAATTCAAATTCATATCTAGTAATTGGTCTACTAAGTTTTTGTAGCCTAGTAGTACAATCTAGATCATACCAGCCAACAACAAATAACCACATTATTATTATTTGGTT